ATGTTCCCCTGGAGAAGGGAAGGATCCAGGCAGAGCTCAGAGCCCCTGGCAGGGCCTGAAGGGCTCCAGGAGAGCTGGAGAGGGACTGGGGACAACGGATGGAGGGACAGGAGCCAGGGAATGGCTCCCACTGCCAGAGGGCAGGAATGGCTGGGAGATTGGGAATTGGGAATTCCTGGTTGGGCTGCAATTCCCAGAGCAGGCTGGAGCAGCCTGGGACAGGGGAGGTGTCCCTGGATGAAGTGGATGGGCTTTAAGGTCCCTCCCAACCCAGGATTCAGCTCCACATGAAGAAAAGCAAAGATGAAGCTGTGAAGCTCCTCCTGCCCTGCCCATGCAGATGGGAACAGGATCCAGGGATAATGGGAATGATGCTTCTTCCACTTCCAAACAATGGCCATTCCCCCACCCCTCCAGGCTCACTTTTCCAGGGAAAAGAGGAGGGGAAGAGCAAATATTTGTATTTAAATGGCCCAGAGTCCCCTAAAGCCCAACTGCCGAACCTGCCAGGACCTGGGACAGGTTTGGGTCACCCTCAGCCAAAGGCAAAGCTTGTGCACCCACATTTTGGAGGTATTCCTTAAGGGAAGGGTGGGAGATGTTTGCCATGGCCCCCATGGGTCTGGATGGATTTGGGATCAGCCCCAAGGAGCCGGGAAGGATCCCTATCAGTTCCCGAGGCCACTCCCAAACCTAATTCCATGCACAATCTGCTCCAGCACCTGGATTAACTCATCCCTCATGGAGCAAGGCAGAAGAGCTGCCTCTTCCCAGGTTCCCTCTGGATTTTGGGACAGGAAAATCCCTTACTGGGACAGGAAAATCCGTGGAGCTGCCACGGTGAGCCGGGTAGGCTGGAACGAGCTGCTTGAATAAGGGAAGCGCTACTTTGGCCAACCTCGACAGCGACTCAGCAACACAAATCAAAATTCTGATTTCTGGGAATTCACCAGCATTCCGTCCTTCCCCTGGAATTTTTTCCATCGGCTGCCGACTCCAAAGCACTTCCCAGGGAGCCGGGGGCAGGGTTGCTCTGGTGCACTCACACGTGGATGGCTTTGCAGATCTCGTCCGCCGTCTTCCCGGCTTTCCGCAGGGTGATGGCCAAGTTCTTGGCTCTGTTGGCATCCAGCAGCGTCACCTTGCTGGATCCTTTCTGAGGGATCTTCTGCTTGCTGGAGGTCAGATCCATGGCCGGGCCCTGGGCTTTCGTTTTGAATATCTCCTCAAATTCATCCACGTTTAGATCCTGGAAAGGAAAGGAAAGGATTTATCCTGCAGGGAACGCTAAATCCTAATCCACAACTGCAGGGGAAGTGTTGTGGTGGCTGAGACAGGGCCACGGAATCATGGAATGGCTTGGGTTGGAATCTTAAAGCTTATCCCAGTTCCAGCCCCTGCCATGGGCAGGGACACCTTCCACCAGCCCAGGTTTTCCCAATCTGGATTTGGAACGCAGAGAGCTCTGCCAGAGGCTGAGGGATGGAAGGAACACACTCCTGAGCTGGCCAGATCCCAGAAATCCAGCCCCAGACAGCTCTGCACGTGTTCAGAAATTCAGGAAAACACTGGTGAGCACTGGTGCCTCATCCAGCCACGGCTAAAGCATCCGTGGGAGCATCCAGGACCTGGAAGGAGCCCTGTCCCAAGGCCACTGCCGTGCCCTATCCCTGTGGAGATCTCCCCACAGCTCCCTGACAGGAGGGGGCAGCCAGCTCTGCTCCCAGGAGGAGAGGAAATGGAATCGGGCTGCTCCAGCAGAGGGTCAGCTGGATATTAGAAATCCTGGCTATTAGGAAATCCTGGCTATTAGGAAATCCTGGCTATTTATTAGGAAATCCTGGCTCTTTCCTTCCTGGCCCTGGGAGGGGCTGGAGCCCCCATGCCTGGAGGGATTTATCCCCCTGTGGATGTGGCACTTGGGGCAGGGCTGGGAGGTCCGAGAGGCTTTTCCAAGGCCACCATTCCATGGCTCCAGGCGGTGCTGGGCAGCAGGGGAGGGAGCAGGGGCACCTCGAGGATGCGCTCGTCGTCGATCTCGTTGAAGACGGTGCCGTTGATCTGGTTGGGCTTCAGGGCCACCCAGTTGAACACGGGCATGCGGAACTTGGTCTTGATGGGCTTCTTGATCTTCACAGCTGGGGACAGGACGGGGGGAGCTCCTGGAGAACCGCCTGGGAACGCCCCGGCGCAGCTCCCCGGGCGGGCTCCAGCACTGGGGAGGAGCTGGGCAGAGCTCATTGTCCCACCGGGATCCTGGGAAGGTGCCTCTGCTTCCAGAGGCTGCTGGAGAGGGGAGTCCCACCCCCAGGGCTCTGCAAACCTCCCCGAGGGAAACCCGGGATCCCTGGAGCGCTCTCAACTCCCAGGCTCTGTCCCAATTCCATGGGAAAGGGGGGGAGTGGGTGGATCCAGCCCACCCTGAGCCGTGGCACAAGGGAAGGGAAAAATGCCCTGCTCCCAAGGCTTTGGGAAGTGGGATCTGGGGAAACTGCAGCGGGGCAGCTCTCAGCAGGTCTGAGTTTCAAAGCCAAAGGGGCTGAGCTGCAGGAAAGCTGGGCTTTAGCAGGGCTTTAAAACCAGGTTTTAAATCCTGTGCTGTGCAAATCCAGCAAACCCGAGTCATTTGGGAACTTTGGAGACATTTAGGAATTTATCAGAGGTGATAACATTTAAAAATTTCCATTTGTAAAAATGAAACCTGGAAGTGAGGCCTGATTGAGCAAGGGAACAACATTTCTATTTCTATTTCTATTTCTATTTCTATTTCTATTTCTATTTCTATTTCTATTTCTATTTCTATTTCTATTTCTATTTCTATTTCTATTTCTCTATTTCTATTCCTACTCCTATTCTATCCCTATTTCTATTCCTATTTCTACTCCTATTCTATTCCTATTCTATCCCTATTTCTGTTCCTATTTCTACTCCTATTCTATTCCTATTTCTATTCCCTTTCCCATCCTATTCCCATCCCTATTCCATTCAATCTGCAAGCCACATGCATAATTTCCATCATCTAGTTCCCATTTCCTTTTCCTTACATGAGAACACAAAATTTTTCCTTGCTACAAAATCAATGAATTAAAGTCCATCAATCAACCTTTTGCTCCTGAATTACTTCCCAAAAAAATCTGGTAAATATGGAACAGAAACCCCGGTCCTGCAGTGCTGGACACCAAGTGGGTAACAGGGAATACACGGAATATTCCAGTAGGTATTTTGGGAATTGCATTTATCCAACTTGTGCTCATCTACACTAAACGGGATTTTGCTCTCTGCTTAATCAATGGGGTTACTTAAAATAATTCCTAAAAGAAAAGAAGGAATAGCTTCGAACGCCCATGGAAAAAGGAATTTTCTACTTGTGCACCCATTGGAATGGATAATTAACTGCTCCCAGGTTATTCCAGGACAAGGAAGATAACATGGAAAAGATAACAGAGCTCAGAACCCCTTCAGATTCCCCTCCTGAGCCCTGGGTGCCCAAACCCAGGGTTGGCTCCGACCTCCCCCTGCCCATCCCCTGGAACCCCCAGGACACAGGGAATGCCAGGATAAGGAATACTTAGCAGGAAGGAACCTACAGAAGAGCTTGATGGGCCCATCTTAGCAGGAAGCAGAAGGAACAGAGAAACAAGTGTTAGGAGAGGTCAGAAAAGCAGCATTTGTTATTTCCCAACTCCCCTCGGCCCCACGGCGCTCCTGCCCTGGGAATGCTCCTTCCTGCAGAGCCCCTGGCATCCAGAAAAGCCACTCCCAGTCCCATTCCCTCGGAATTCCCACTGAAAAATGGGATCTGCAGCCCAGCAGCCCCCAGAAACCTCCACGGCCACATCCCAAGGCATCAGTCCCTCTTTCTGGGGCTGGATTTTCCTACAAAACACCCTGGGACCCTCCGGATCTAGGATGCTTTTTGTCTTCCAAGGAACCTTTAAAGGCTGGAATATTTAATTCGATTTTTTGTCCTTAATGAAGCTGTTAATGAGAGTTTCTTGCTTTGGACTCATAATGAGCTCTGGAGATTTTTGGGGACACCAGTGAGCCCTCACTCACTGCCTGAGACACCTGGCAGGAGGCAGTGACTAAAACACGGGCAAGGATGGGCAGCAGATGGCTCTTCGTTCCAAAAAATCCCCAAATTTTGCCTCTTCTTCCCAAATTCCCACCAAAAAAATCGCAAATTTTGCACAGATACTTCTCAGAAGAAATCAAACCCATTTTCTGTCAAAGTCAGAAACGACCCTATTTATAAAATATTTTTGGTGTGAGTTTTGTTCCACTGGAGAATCCGACTCCTCCAGACCAACCCCAAAGTGGTGGGTGGATAAATCCCAGAATCTCACACTGGTTTGGGCTGGGAGGGACATCGAGGATTATCCAGCTCCCCCATCCCAGGCTGCTCCAAGCTGGACACTTCCAGGGATGCACGGGGCAACCCCAGAGACCCCGGAATGCTCCTTCCTCCCAGGAACTCCTGATCCCAACCCCGGTGAGGAGCACTGGGGTGTGTTTAGGGGTGTCCTGCCCTCCTCTCGGGGAGCTTTACCTGCCAGGCCAGAGTTGAAGACCACGGTGGGCGAGGAGCCGGGCAGGGGGGGAGCCGAGGGCGGCGGCGGAGGGGGCAGCGGAGCCGGAGCCGCGTCCGGGAGAGGAGGAGGAGGAGGAGGAGGAGGAGGAGGAGGAGGTGGAGGTGGTGGAGGTGGCACAGGCACCGCCACGGGGCCGTTGGGCACTGTGGGATGGAGGGAAAATGGAGTTACCGTGGAGGGAAGGGGCACAGAGGAAGAGCCACAGCACTGCCGTGATGTCCCCTCCCCACCCGGAGCCACCAGAGGCCTTCAGCGCCTGGAAGTGCCCTCAGGAAAGAAGGGAACCATTTTTCCATCCGTGGAAAAGCAGGTGGGGGTCACGCTCTGCTCCCAGGGAGCAGGGACAGGAGGACAGGGAATGGCTCAGGGCATCGGGAGGAGTTTCCCCACGGGAAGAGAGGTCAGGCACCGGAGCCACCAGAGGCCTTCAGCGCCTGGAAGTGCCCTCAGGAAAGAAGGGAACCATTTTTCCATCTGTGGAAAAGCTGATGGAGGGGGCAGCCAGGTGGGGGTCACGCTCTGCTCAGGGAGCTGTGACAGGAGGACAGGGAATGGCTCAGGGCATCGGGAGGAGTTTCCCCATGGGAAGGGAGGTCAGGCACTGGAGCCACCAGAGGCCTTCAGCACCTGGAAGTGCCCTCAGGAAAGAAGGGAACCATTTTTCCATCCGTGGAAAAGCAGGTGGGGGCCACGCTCTGCTCCCAGGGAGCAGGGACAGGAGGACAGGGAATGGCTCAGGGCATCGGGAGGAGTTTCCCCACGGGAAGGGAGGTCAGGCACCGGAGCTGCCCAGGGAGGTTTGGTGCCCACAGCTGGGCTCTCCCCCCTTGCTCACCTGCCTCAGGTGAGCCCGGCAGGGCAGGCAGGGGGGGTGGAGGTGGGGGCAGTGGCACTGAGGAGGCAGCTCCAGGTGTGGCACAGCTCCCTGGCACCGCCTCCGCTCCTGCTGGCACCATCCCGGAGGCCAGGGCCACGGGAAGGATGGAGATGTCCCCATCCCCTTTCTTCTGGATCTTGATGGTTCCCTGCTTCTCCAGCTCGTGGATCTTCTTCTCCAGCGTGGATTGGCGCTGGATGGCTTCCTCCTTCTCCTTCACCATCTTCCTCAGGGTGTGAACCTGGCTGTTGGCGTCCTTGTAGATCTCCTGGAACGACACAGGAGCAGGGAATGTGCGTTCAGAATTCCAAGGGCAGGATCAGAACGGTCTGATCCACAGAGGGGATTGCACTGCACGTGCCCAGGGCAGCCCCCCACAGAGAAATTCTGGATTCTCCCACCCTTTGGGACCTCCACGGGTCCAAAACTCCCACCTGGAATGCTCCAGACCTGGGGAATGAGATGCACCCACCTCACTCAGTGATTCCAGGCACATGCACAGGGATTTCTGTCCATCCTTTGAGTGCACACATAAACAATTGCACCTGGAATCTGCCCAGGGCTCAATACTGGGAAGCCAAGAGAATTCCCCTGCCCCAGCTCCGTGATCTCCACTCCCTGCATCCTGAATCCACCCTGGGCTTCCCCGTCCCACTCACCCTGATCACATCCAGTTCTTTGTTCCTTTGCATCAGCTGCTTTTCCAGTTCCACAATCTTGGCCATGGCTTCGTTCTCCGTATCCTGGAGTTTTTCAGATAACTACCCAGCAAAAAGAAATGGATTAAAGAATTGGAAACCTGGGGTTTTATCTGTCAAAACAAGAGGTATCCATCTTGGATAAATGGATAAATTATTGATATTGCAGGAAACCCTGAAGCCTTCCTTGGAAAGAGAACAGCCTGAGATGGGAGACATCAAGTTGGAATGTGTTTGGACAACCTGGGATAGTGGAAGCTGTCCCTGCCCGTGGCAGGGGTTGAACTGGAAGGGTTTTAATGCCCCTGCCAACCCAAACCATTCCCTGGCTCCTACAGCACCTCAGAGAGGCAAACACTGCACAGTGAATTAAGAACATTATTTATTCCATGTGATGGGAATACAGGGATGCTGAGAGAAGGAAAAGCCTTTTCTCAGTTTTAAAGTACGGAAAACCCCTTTTTTGTCTTATTATTTTCCAAGAGCCAGGCCATGTCTTCCAGCCTAAAGTGCCTGACACCAAGGTTTGGGACAGCAAACCCTGAGCATCTACACAAGAGGATTTTCCAGGTCCTTCCCTCCTGAGCCTCTGCTTAAAGCACAGCCAGGATGTTTTTTCTCCCCTATTTTGGGCCTGCTCTGCTGAGGAGTTGGAGTTTTCCATGGACATCAGCTCTCCCAGCTCCTACACCTGAGCAGAGGCTCCCTGTGCCAGGTGAATCCTCCTTGGAAGCACAGCCAGAGTCTGATTCTTTCCCAGCTCAGATCCCAGGGATCCCAAGGCTTTTTCCCAGCGAGCCTCCCCCCAGACTGGGCTGTGCCAACCCAGAATATGCAGGAGGCAGCGTGGGCACTCACGTGGGAAAGGTTCTCTTCCAGTTCTTCCACCCTTTCCAGGGCTGCGTTCTTGGTCTCCGCGTCCTCCAGCAGAGCCCCCACGTCGAACACGTTGTCCAGGTAGGCCTGGATCTGCACCTGCAGCTTGTCACTCTCCGTGTGCTTCAGCTTCTGCAGGGCCCAGGGGACACGGGGGACACGGGGGACACTGGTGACAGCGAGCCCTGGCACAGCTCTGGGCACCTCCACCACCCAGGGAGACGCTTTGGACCCCAAACACCCCCAGCTCTTATCCTCTGTCCCTCCAGGGGACATGACAGCTTCCCTGCCCATGGAATGGGATCTTTAGGGTCCCTTCCAGCCCAAACCATTCCATGATTTCCTCTGGTTGCTGGGAAAGGCTCTGCCTGGTGCCCATGGACTCCCCAGAGCCACTCCCAGACCCCAAACACACCCACGGCCAGTGCAGCCCTGTCCAAACACATCCCACAGAGCCCAAATCCCCCTCCTGGTGGACACTGAGCAGGAATCTGCAGGGACAACAGCAGCAGGGTTTCCATGGATGTGCTCTCGAGGACAGGGGGAAAAATGCTGCCTGGAGAGGCTGTGGCTGCCCCAATCCCTGGAAGTGCCCCAGGACAGGCTGGAGGGGCTTGGAGCAGCCCGGGACAGCAGAAGGGTCCCTGCATGTGGCCGGGGGGATCGAGAAACTCTTTAGGGTCCCTTCCGACCCAAAAGATTCTGGGATCCCATGGGAAGTAGAGAAGGGGAACAAAGGAGCAGCTGGCAGGCAGACACCACAGGACTGGTGGCTGTCAGGGAATCTCAGAGGAGACTCCTCCGGCCTGGAGCCGGGACGTGGCAGGGCGGGTGGCTGCCTGCGGTTCATCCTCCCTTTGGCATCAGCTCCACATCCAGCTCCGGCCTGTAATTGCAGCCGGCTGCGGCCCTGCCCCACTGCAGCCCTGCCCCACTGCAGCCCTGCACCACTGCAGCCCTGCCCCACTGCAGCCCTGCCCTGCACCACTGCGGCCCTGCCCCACTGCAGCCCTGCCCTGCACCACTGCAGCCCTGTCCCACTGCGGCCCTGCCCCACTGCTGCCCTGTCCCACTGCGGCCCTGCCCCACTGCAGCCCTGCCCCACTGCGGCCCTGCCCCACTGCAGCCCTGCCCTGCCCCACTGTAGCCCTGCCCCACTGCAGCCCTGCCCCACTGCAGCCCTGCCCTGCCCCACTGCAGCCCGGCCCCACTGCAGCCCTGCCCCAC